GCCCGCCCCGCCCATGGGTCAAGTGACCGCAGGTTTGAGGAAGGCGAAGGAGGGGCGGGAGCGATGAGGAAGAAGAGGGGAGGTGGTGCTGGTTAAGTGGAGCTGCCTGAAACGCACGGGTGAGACGCTCGGTGGACTGAAGATGTATTGCTTCGGGAGGAACCTGCAGGCGGGGGACAGGCAAAGAAATGCCGGGGGGACACCGAGTAAGAGCATGTAGCCATCCTTCAACTGCATTTAAAATCTATTAATAAAAAAAAAAGCTTTATATATATATATATATATTAGTACCTTACTTGCCTGCTTTGTCCAACAGCGTTTCTATTTCTTCGGTTTGCAGAGCTGATACACAATTCACTAATTCTTTCCCTCCTTGTTAACCTTGTACAGCCCCTCATCTGTGGTGAAATTCACTCATTTATTCTGGCACCTTGCAGAAATCTAGGCAAGCTCCTCAAAAAGCTTTACTGTGTAAGGAGGCAGGAGGTAAATAAGTGAGTGAATGGCATGTAGGGGCAAACGTGCAAATCCTCGGTGTGGTTTTGGAAGCAGGGTGCATTCTCAGCCTTCCCAGAGGCTCTGGTGTGGTGGAGGAAGCTCCCTTACTTCGTCACCCTGTTCCAAAAGCACATTAAAATAGGCAGTTCCCTAAATAAAGGATGGTGAGCTGAAACTGAAATGGAAAGAATGGATAGAGAAGGTTAACTTCCCTTTCTCCTCCACATGGGGGCGTTCCTAGAGGGTCACCTACAGCAGAACTGGCATCTGCGTGCTCCGGGATCATGCCGTAGCCAGGACCAGGGAAAACTCAGGCTGCTGCAGTCTTGTGCTTCTTAATGCAAGGACATATTTTCACTACCTCATTTTTGCATGAGGCAGAGCAAAAGGAAGAGCAGTGTTCCTGTACAGAGCAAAACTTGCTGTGCCAACAGCAGCGGCCAGAGCAGGTCAGCATTCAGCTATGCGAGTCGTTCCCCTTGGTGAGTCCCAGGATGGCAGGGCGGCCTGGGCTTCAGGGTTATGCCACAGTTCAGACTGCTGTTCATATATCAACTC